ATTGTTCAGTTTCCATGTAGTTGTGTGGTTTTGAGTGAGTTTCTTAATCCTGAGTTCTAATTTGATTGCACTGTGGTCTGAGAGACTGTTTGTTATGATTTCCATTCTTTTGCATTTGCTGAGGAGTGTTTTACTTCCAATTATGTGGTCAATTTTAGAATAAGTGCAATGTGGTGTTGAGAAGCATGTATATTCTGTTGATCTGGGGTGAAGAGTTCTGTAGATGTCTGCCAGGTCTGCTTGTCCAGAGCTGAGTTCAAGTCCTGGATATCCTTGTTAATTTTCTGTCTTGTTGATCTAATATTGACATTGGGGTGTTAGGTCTCCCTCTATTATTGTATGGGAGTCTGAGTCTCTTTGTAGGTCTTTAAGAACTTGCTTTATGAATCTGAGTGCTCCTGTATTGGGTATATATATATTTAGAATAGTTAGCTCCTCCTGTTGCATTGATCCCTTTTTCATTATGTGATGCCCTTCTTTGTCTCTTTTGATTTTTGTTGGTTTAAAGCCTGTTTTATCAGAGACTAGGATTGCAACCCTTGCTTTTATTTTTTATTTTATTATTATTATTATTATTATTTGCTTGGTAAATCTTCCTCCATCCCTTTATTTTGAGCCTATGTGTGTCTTTGCATGTCAGATGGGTCTCCTGAACACAACACACTAATGAGTCTTGACTCTTTATCCAATTTGCCAGTCTGTGTCTTTTAATTGGGGCATTTAGCCCATTTATATTTAAGGTTAATATTGTTATGTGTGAATTTAATCCTGTCATTATGATGCTAGCTGGTAATTTTGCTCATTAGTTGATGCAGTTTCTTCATAGTGTCAATGGTCTTTACAATTTTGTATATTTTTGCAGTGGATGGTACCAGTTGTTCCTTTCCATCTTTACTGCTTCCTTCAGGAGCTCTTATAAGGCAGGCCTAGTGGTGACAAAATCTCTCAGCATTTGCTTGTCTGTAAAGGATTTTATTTCTCCTTTGCTTCTGAAGCTTAGTTTGGCTGGATATGAAATTCTGGGTTCAAAATTCTTTTCCTTAAGAATGTTGAATACTGGTCCCCACTCTCTTCTGGCTGGTAGGGTTTCTGCTGAGAGACCCGCTGTTAGTCTGATAGGCTTCCCTTTGTGAGTAACCTGACCTTTCTCTCTGGCTGTCCTTAACATTTTTTCCTTCATTTCAACCCTAGTGAATCTGATGATTATGCGTCTTAGGGTTGTTCTTCTCAAGGAATATCTTTGTGGTGTTCTCTTTATTTTCTGAATTTGAATTTTGGCCTGCCTTGCTAGGTTGGGGAAGATCTCCTACATAATATCCTAAAGAGTGTTTTCCAACTTGGTTCCCTTTTCTCTGTTACTCTCAGGTACACCAATCAAACATAGATTGGGTCTTTTCACATAGTCCCATATTTCTTGGAGGCTTTGTTCATTTCTTTTCACTCTTTTTTCTCTAATCTTATCTTCTCACTTTATTTCATTGAGTTGATCTTCAATCTCTGATATGCTTTCTTCGGCTTGATTGATTTGGCTATTGATACTTGGTGTATGCTTCACGAAGTTCTTGTACTGTGTTTTTCAGCTCTATCAGGTCATTTATGTTCTCTAAGCTGGTTATTCTAGTTAGAAAATTTGTCTACCCTTTTTTCCAGGTTCTTATCTTCCTTGCTTTGGGTTAGAACATGCTCCTTTAGCTTGGAGGAGTTTGTTATTACCCACCTTCTGATGCCTACTTCTGTCAGTTTGTCAAACACATTCTCTGGTCAGTTTTGTTCTCCTGCTGGTGAGGAGTTGTTATTCTTTGGAGGAGAAGAGGTATTCTGGCTTTTGGAATTTTCAGCCTTTTTGTGCTGGTTTCTCCTCATTTTTGTGGATTTCTCTACCTTTGGTCATTGATGTTGGTGATGTTGATACCATTCCTTTCTGTTTGGCAGTTTTCCTTCTAACAGTCAGGCCCCTCTGCTGCAGGTCTGCTGGAGTTTGCTGGACGTCCACTCCAGACTCTGTTTGCCTGGATATATCACCAGCAGAATTTGCCTGGATATCATTAGCAGAGGCTACAGAACAACAAGGATTGCTGCCTGTTCCTATCTCTGGAAGCTTCATCCCAGAGGGGCACCCACCAGATGCCAACCAGAGCTATCCTGTATGAGGTGTCTATCAGCCTCTACTGGGAGGTGTCTACCAGTCTGGATACATGGGGGGTCAGGGACTCAGTCTGTCCCTTATCAGAGCTCGAACACTATGCTGGGAGAACTGCTGCTCTCTTCAGAGCTGTCAGTCAGGGGCATTTAAGTCTGCTGAAGCTGCACTCACAGCTGCCCCTTCCCCCAGGTGCTCTGTCCCAGGGAGCTGTGGTGGGCTCCGCCCAGTTCAAACTTCCTGGTGGCTTTGTTTACATTGTGAGGTTGAAACTACCTATTTAATCCTCGGCAATGGCGGATGTCCCTTCCCACACCAAACTGACATCCCAGGCTAACCTCAGACTGCTGTGCTAGCAGCAATAATTTCAAGCCAGTGGATTTTAGCTTGCTGGACTCTGTGAGGGTGGGACTTGCCAAGCCAGGCACCAGAGAGAATCTCCTGGTGTGCCAGTTGTGAAGACCATGGGTAAAGCACAGTATCTGGGCCGGAATGCACCGTTTTTCCTGGTACAGTCTCTTGCAGCTTCCCTTGGCTAGGAAAGGGAAATCCCCTGACCCCTTGCACTTCTAGAGTGAGGCAGCACCCCACCCTGTTTTGGCTCAATCTCCGTGGGCTGCACCCACTATCCAACCAGTCCCAATGAGATGAACCGGGTACCTCAGTTGGAAATGCAGGAATCACCTGCCTTCTGTGTCAATCTTGCTGGGAGCTGCAGACCGGAGCTGTTCCTATTCGGTCCTCTTTCCCAGATAGCTTCCATAGGATCTTAATTCTCCCAAACTTTCTTCTTTCCTCTCATTAACATATCCTCAAAGCCACCTCCCCTTTTCTACTTATCTCTTTCCCAGAAGTAATGCCTTTCTAAAACTGCCACCTTAGGTCTGACACACTTTCAGGTCTTTTACCTTTAGACAGTACTGTGATCCACCAGATCTTAGATGGCTTTCATAGATTCTGCCTTTATTGTGGAGTTTTATCTTTCTATTGCTCTTTTTGTCAGAATTAGGCCCTTGAGTTCTCTCTTCTCTTTTCCATATAGTTTTTCAAACATCTCCAAGTCTGAATCACTGAAAATAGTTCTGTTGGCATCTGGTGTTTATTTCTTATTTTAAAATAAATTGAAGTTCATAATATTCTTTCTCCTAGTAAGGCTGAAAGTGTGGGTTGTATGTAGTTCTATTTGTTTTCCTTATTAATCTGTATGGTTTTGTGGGAGAGTAAGTGGACAAACTCTAACTTAGGGGGCCGCCATTATCCTACGGCAATTAGAAGTATCTTAAATCTTTTTATTTTTATTGTTGTTACTGATTGTGATTTGTTTATGTTTTATAAACATCATGAAAACACCCAAGAAAAAAAGCAAAGGGATAAGTTTGTAGACTTAGATTATCTTCCTTTTGAAGATAAATCAAATAACTTTCTTAAAATGCATATGAGTAACAGATTCTGAAATTAAAGTCTCTCATATCTAATAAATAATCTAAGGTAGAATCTGACATGATTCACTATAGCTTACAGTTTTGGGATAATTAGAAGTCCTTTCTGTCAATGTGGAAATACTCACTATGAGCAAAAAAAAAAAAAAAAAAAAGAGCCTTTAGAGAGTTATAAAAAAGAAATAGGGCCTGGGCAGTGGCACACACCTGTAATCCCAGTACTTTGGGAGGCCAGGGCAGGAGAATCGTTTGATCTCAGGAATTTGAGATTAGTCTGGGCAACATGGCGAAATCCTGTCTCTACAAAAAAATATAAAAATTAGCTAGGTGTGGTGGCATATGCCTGTGGTCTCAGCTACTTGGGAAGCTAAGGTAGGAGGATCGCTTGTTCCTAGGAGGTTGAGGCTGCAGTGAGCTGAGACTGTACCACTGCACTCCAACCTGGGTACCAGAGTGAGACTCTGTCTCAAAAAAAGAAAGAAATAAATAAAAAATAAAAATATTTAAAGGCCGGGTGTGGTGGCTCACACCTGTAATCCAAGCACTTTGGAGGCCAAGGTGGGCAGATCGCCTCAGGTCGGGAGTTCAAGACCAGCCTGACCAACATGGTGAAACCCCGTCTTTATTTAAAAAAAAGAATAGAAAAAGAAAAAAAGAAACTACTAGAAAGAATCCACTTTATTTGGTATTTTTTCTTTGTTATGATGATACAAGAACATGACAAAAGGCAGAAGTGATTTAACTACGTTAGGCTCTGGTATAGCTGATTTACCCATCCATCTAGTACTTATTGAGGACCACTAAACTGCCAGACAATGGGGATGCAAAAATGACTAAGATACAGTCCTCTACCTCACAGACAAGTAGAACACATGTAAATTGCAAAAAGTTAGATGGCATCCTTTCCAAAAGGTTTAAAACTATGCAAAACTATACTACATATACTTTTAAAGCTATATACACACATTCTATAAGCATGAAAACGTGAGAAAATGATAAGCATCAAATTTAGGATTGAGGTTAGCTCTTAGGGGATGGACTGTGAGACTGAGGGGGATACAATCAGGCAGGAATACAAAGGAGTTTCAATTTTACCTCTAGTAATTTCCTTAAAAAAGAAATATATCTGGAACAAATATTATAAACTGTTAGGATCTGACAAAGCTGGGTAGTAAGATATGTGGGTATATGTTATATTATCTCTATTTTTTTGTATGCTTAAAATATTTCCTAAGTTCTAAAATATTTTATTCAAAATGCAGTTCAATTCACTGGCAAGGTTTTTGGAGTTTTAACTAAGAAGCTTCAGAATATATTCAAGTTATATAATAACACAAAATTGAAAACTGCTTTTAGAAATGAATGAGAAAAATGGACCATTTGAATACTGTACATTTCTTTAGATATAGTGTTATACATACCTGTCAGTGCTAAATAAGAAGCAATGTACCGTTTTTCCAGACCGTCTCTAACACTCTGAATTGCACCAAACACTGGAGGTATAATCATGATCAGGTTACTCACTGTATTCCCTTTAAGAGAAAAACACAAGAAGATATTTAAGTTAATTAACAACATTTTAAATAAAGATACATTCATGTAGCCTTTAACAATAATTAAACAAGTAACTTCTCAGAAAGACATTGGGAAGATATTTTCAAGGTGCTGAAAAAAAAATTCTGTACTCACCAAAAATGTCTTACAATAATCCAAATAAAATAAAGATACTTTCAGACAAATGAAACTAAAAATTTTCCACCAGCAAACCCACTAAAGGAAATTCTAAATTCTGATGACAAGCAGGAAAAGGATCTCAGGAAGAACCTCAGAGATACAGTAAAAAATGAGCTGGGGAAGGCAGCCTACACCGATGCACTGAAACTGTGGTCCATGCATGCAGTATGACAAAATGAATATATAATTGGCTTAATTTTGTCACTGGGATAAAAAAGCAACAAATCGCAGTTTACATTTTGTATGTATCTTTAACATTTCATTTTTCTAGTAATGTTTTAATTTCTAGTTTCTGTTTCTAGTAAAACATAAGAGGCTTAATTAATTGATCTTCATTTGATCTTTGCTCCTGTCTTCATAAAACAATGTGCAAACATGAATAGCAAACGAATAGTAAAAACCCCAGTAGAAGATATAAGTAGGTAAAATGGAGAAAGAAATGACATTATTTTTTGTTTATAAATTTGATTCTGAATAGAATAAAGTGGCACAATAGTTTCCAGATTTCAAAAGAACAATTTTCAGCAGAGATGCTAATATCAAGACAAATAATCAATTAACTGAGAGGTTAGAGGAAAACATTTTCAAACAGTCAAGGATTAAAATAATATACTTACAACATATATATTTTCTCTAGAATCAACTGGAGATGTAATGACCTCAAACAAGGAAATTAACCATGAGAAAAGATGACACGAGTGCTAAGAAACATGGGCTGCAACACAGGAGAGAGGTAAAGAAAAGGCTCAAGACTGCAAAAGGACAAGAGACCACACAGTCCAAATTGCAGCAGAAGAACCAAGAACTGCGGGAAAGAAATTTGTAAGAAGAAAAAAGAAAAGGACAGACAATTTGATAAATTTAAAAATTTGTAAACAAAAAAAAAATGCCAATGGGCATTTGAGAGAAGTGTTGGAAAAGCTGTACTATAGCTCATTCAACCAGTCCTCTGTTACTGTAAACATTCAGGTTATTTCCCATTCTTACAATCACATGCAATACTGCAATGAAGAGCCATACATATTTACAAGTGCAGGTACATCCATAAAATAGATATACAAAAATGAGATTGCCAAGTCAAAAAATAAACACATCTATTGGCCCAAAAAGTAGTGAAAGAAAACATGGACGCATGGTTCTTTGACAGTGAATGAGAATGGGTATAATTTTATGTTCTTAAGGGCCATCTGTATTTCTTTTCTTATGAAATATATTTCATGCCCTTTGCTACTTTTTCTATTGGTCTTTCCTTTTTCTATAAGAAGGAGCCCTTCTTCTAAAAGGAATATTAATATTAGCCCTATGTATTTGCTGTGGACAAATTTTTGGTGATTTTTTTTTAAAATACAGAGTCTCCCTCTGTTGCCCAGGATGGAGTGCAGTGGCATGATCTCAGCTCACTGCAACCTCTGCTTTCTTGGTTCAAGAGATTCTCCTGCCTCAGCCTCCCGAGTAGCTGGGAACACAGGTGCTGCATCATGCCCAGCTAATTTTTGTGCTTTTAGTAGTCTACACAGAAAGAAATATTACCATAGAGTACACTATTTGGCTTAGCAGTACACATTATTTATATAGCCATATTGATATTATTGATGTTACAGCCTAACTACTTATTTAATTTAAAAAACTATGCTCTGACTTTATTGAGAAAATATGGCAGAGAAAACAATGATGGTATAGAAAAGCAAAATCCCCAATCACCATAACTAGAAGACAACAGACAATATCTTAAATTTACAGATCCAGAAATAGCACTATAATATAGTTATTTAGAAATCTGGAGCCAAATTATTAAAAAAATAAGTAGCTGGCCAGGGGCAATGGTTCACACTTGTAATCCTAGCACTTCAGAAGGCTAAGGTGGGAGGATTGCTTGAGCCCAGGAGTTCTAGAGCAGCCTGAGCAACATAGTGAGACTCAATTATACATACATACATAAAAACAAAGTTATTGTCAGACTTCTGTTTCCATACAAGATGAAGAAACAAGAACCAGATTTATCTTCTTACCTGAAATAAGGAGAAGAGAGGCAAAGAGGGAAGGGGAGGGGAAGGGAGACAAAATATCTGAAACAACTATTTTCAAGACAATAGACTTCAGGCAACGATTCCCAAGAAACCAAGAAATAAATGGAGGCCCCTATAATTGCCCCTAACTTACTGCCTGGAGTACTCAAGCCACAGCATAAGGAGGGAGTACTCAGGGGGAGCTTGGCAGGCTCCCTGATGAGGAAACAAAGTGGAGAGTTCAGGAAGACCAAGGTGACTAGATTTCGTGGGCTACAGTATATGAGAGACAACTTCAGAGAGAAAGCACTCAGGAAATCTTTAAAGGACCCCCTAACTATTCAGCAGAAGACTGGTCAACAGATATATATGTGCAAACTACCTAAAGCCAGGAAAGAACCATAGTGAAAATATTAGAGGGAACAGTACCAGGTGCTCACACATAGCCAGAAACAGTGCCTATTCCCACAAGCTGAAATAGTAAAATTTGTATCTTGCTGGACATTGAATAAAGCAGCCAAGAAGGCCTGACCTCAGTTAATAGGGAATAGCTAGTACTAGACTGAACCCTGTTCCTGACGTACCTAACAAATCACAAAAGCAAAATCCAAAAGGATCAAACTGTTTCCAAGTAGCTTCATGAAATCCAGAACAAAATTCAAGACTATTTATAGTAATACAAAAATTATTCAGCACCTAGCAAAGCGCATTGCCTCGTATCCAATCAAAGATTACCAGGCTTACAAAAAAGCAGGAAACATGGTCCATAAGGAAAATAATCAGTTGAAATCAACCCAGAACAGATGTTAGAATTAGCAGACCAAGACTAAAACAGTTCATATAAAAGGCTAGAAAATGCAAACTAATCTACAGTGACAGAAAGTAGATCGGCGGTTGCTGGGGGAGAAATGGTGGGACAGTTTAATGGAGAAGGAGGGCTCACAAAGGAATATAATAAAACTTGGAGGTGAAGGATATGTTCTATCTTGCTTGTGATGGTTTCACAGGTATAAACCAAATGTCAAAATTTAATGTGTACACTTTAAATAGGGTGCAGTCTGTTTTGTATACCAATTACCTCAATCAAGCTGGGTTTTTTTGGTTTGTTTTTAATTTTGCTTTTGGGGACTAGAATTGGACACTGGGAAGGAAAGAAGGGTTGGGGAAGTGCACTGTCTTCTGGTTTTGTTAAAGTTATTTAGCATTATCTAGATTTTTATCTATTTTTTAATGTATTGCTTTGATAAAATAAAAATTAATACAGAAACTATTTAGGAAAGGGAGTAAGATCATTGGGAATAGTTTCATAGACGTAATAAGATTTGAGGTAGACCCTGAAAGGAGAGAAAGAAAGAAAAACCTGCTGAGGCTATTAAGTACCAGGTACTGAACTTTATATTTTACATGTGCTATCTTACTTGCTTCTCACAACAAATCTTGTGAAATATTATTGTCCCTATTAAAAATAAACAGTAACAGTATACAATTCCAAGTTCTCACAATAAGCAAAAGGTGAAGGCAAGATTTTATTCCAGGTCTATCTGTCCTTATAACCAATGTTACTCTAACTAGATGTACTAGCACACTGTTCACACAGAGGGCGCTTATTAATTATAATGTTTTAAAAATTATATCAAAGAGTATTTTACTCAGAATCTATTAAATGAATTCCAAACTGTACAAAGAATAAAGTAATTTGCCCAGGTGGAGTATGAAAATGTAAGGTGGGGAGCCAGACAGATTGAGAGTTATATATCCAAACAGCAGTTATCAATAGCTTTAAGTAAACCTGTAGGAGATGTTGAATATTTTGCCATTCAGGAGGGCCTAAGATTCAAACTAATGAAAATCTTTACTGATGACTAAGATAAAGCAATGGAAGCATGCCCAAATATACAGATAATATTAAATTTAGCTGAAATGTCAACTGCAAACCACAAATACAGTATTGTTAGAAAGAGTAAGGACAACCCTGAGAGAAAGTTCCAAAGACAGAAAGATGACAGTAGGCTATTCTGGGAGGAAAATCTCAATATACTACACCTCAAAGTAGTACTTAGAGGTAAAAATGGAAAGAGCTAGATAGTGGTCATCCTACTTTTATCTTCTTTAATTCAGCTTCTCCTTTAATGTGCGGCACCCTAAGCAAAACAAACATTAAAGCATTCAGAGTAGAGACTAATTTAAAGGCATAATTTACTAAATAAATAAAACATAACATATAAGGAATGGAATGACTGCTGTCTCCAAATATCTGAAGGATTTTTAAGCTAAAGGTTAATGAGGCTGGTTATGACTCTAAAATATAAGAATTAAAATCAATGAAGGTAGAGAGAAGCAGATTTCTACTCATTATAGAGCAAAACATTCTAAAATTAAAGCTGTCAAAAAATGTAAGGCTGGATGCAGTGACTCACACCTGTAACCCCAGTACTTCAGGAGGCCAAGGCAGGAGGATCTCTTGATTCCAAGAGTTCAAAACCAGCCTGGGCAACATAACGAGACCATGTCTCAAAAAAAAAAAAAAAAAAAAAAAAAAAAAAAAAAAAAAAA